ACGAAACATTAGGTGTCTGTTTACTTGTGACCACTCAGTGTATATATATATATATATATTGGTTAATATTTCAACTACAGTCTATTTATTTAACCTCTCTGAATTCCATGGAAATTACATAACTTTAACTGAGATGTTACAACGTCCGTTTGAACCTTTAACAAACATTTATAGTCGTAAAACGGGTTATGTATTTTAATCACAATCTAAAAGAAAAGGTCCTAATCATGATACAAACTAAAGGGTTCTTTTCATGACACTAAAGGAAAAGTCCATATTATACATTCTATTTTCACAAATTCACATAACATAGAACAAATGGTTTTAATCATGAGGTAGATGAAAGGGTTAATATCATGACGTAGGAAAAACATCTTAATAAGGATCAGGAGAAACTGTCCTGATCATGACTTGGGAGAAATAGCAAAGTATGCTACATAATAAAAGGTTCATGTTAACATGCCACAGGAAACATTCAAATGTAAAACAAAGTCGCTTAAATGATCCAAGAAAAAAACTTCATAATTATGATGTAAGACAAACTTGTTCTCTAATAATGATGAATAACAGGTTTTAATCTTTGTTAGGAGTAAAAGCCCTAATAACAAAGTAGAGTTGAACACTATAGAATAAAAGGCTGATTATTGAATATAGTATGCCGTTAAACACACATTTATCTAAATACATAAGATTAGGGTTAAGTGCTATATTTATGATCACTAAGACGCAGATCTTATTTTTAACACAGGTATAACTAAACAGTTTTAAAATACTCCAGAACTAACTGGAGGTAACCAAACATTACGGCCGGAGATAGATGATGGCGAGGGTACCTAAATGATGAAACAATGTATCCTAATCTTTATAAGTAAAACGTAGGAAAAGTAAATTTAATTACTTATACTAGTGGCTGTGATGATTTTTAGTTTCGCTCTAAGTATATAGCTTACTCTGATCGGCAGTTATTACTATTATCTAATGTATTTCTGCAACGAGTTAAAAACTTACTTGTGGTCATATTCAGTATTTTGTATGCCGGCAACTGAAGTCTGACATTACTATAAAAGCTGTTCAAATATGAGCAAATATTTTCGGTCTTTCAGACATAAGGTAATTGTAATGTTAGAAAGACTACTGTTAGGGAGGAGTCAGCCTATGGAATAAATATATGGAAGCTTCATGATAATTAGCCTTATTGACTTTAAATCAACGCTCCTAACAACACCCAGTTTAATAGCGTTTGAAATCACTGAGGCTGTTTTTAGTTACAGAATTATTTTTTCCCGCCTTCTTAACCGAAAGAGTAAGTAAGAAGCTTCAGCGTTTCCTTTCTTACTTATCTCAATCGTAGATCGTAGATTACTAACATTCGTTCTCTGACTCAAACACATTGTTCATAGGAAAGGTGAAGGCCTCATTGAACCCTCCGACTTGAGTTTCATTTCATCCTTAAGCTAATACAAAGTGCGCATATTCACAAGAGCCGTTGCGGTTAGTCTTACAGAAAAGTTCGTCAAAACCAAAAGTAATGAATGTAACAAGAAACAAAATTGATCTAATATGTGTATAATACCTCGACTGCACCACACATAGAATTTTCAAGATGACGTGACTAAGATGAAGTAAAATTAGAATGAACATAAAAATGCGAGCACACTTCTAGACTTCTAATGTCACTTAAGAGGTTTTAATATGAATTCAAATGCCCAAGATTTATCTTTGTATTACTAATATTTTGGCCATGATGTTTTTACTTCACAATATTACTTAAATAATTATTTAAAAAAACAACATGCGATTCCCTCTTTTGTCTGAAATATATTATCTATGACATAGCGATGCTTCAAAAATAATTTTCATATTGCAGATAATATATAACTAAAAAGCAAACCCATAAATCAAAACTGTTGACACTCACCCTCTACAAAGATAGTGACAACAAAGAAGGATGCAAACATATTCCCGAATTCCTTCAGCAACAAGCACGTGTACAGAGTCTCGTGCCTACTTAAGTACTGCCTGATCCCAACTAACCATAAGCTTGGGGTAATGTGGGACCCGATGGATCGATACTAGCGACCTCAAGAGGGCGAGAATGAATTAACAGTGTTTGTGGTGTAAGACAAATAGTTCTTGTGTGCTGTTAAACATATATATATATAAAGAATTTTTCTCTTATTCTTCACAAAATTGATTCTCTTTATCGACCATGTTATACTGAGCTCCATTACTTTATTGAATGTCAAAATTGAGATCCCGAAAAAAATAATCAAAGTGGTTAACAGGTCCACAAAAATATTTTTTACCCAAAATATTCGCAAGCGATTTACTATTTCTAAATTTAAGTTTCATGTACAATACTAAGAAAGCTTTGGAGCATGAGCGCCCGCAGGAAGGAGCAAGAAGGGGCATTTGCCTTCTTATATTTCACAAAAATTGCACGTATTATGATGTAAACTTAGCATCGTAGTTAAACTAATTCGATGACGAGGAACCCACTTTGAGACTAATAATGGCTGGAGACGGCTTGAATACTTAGTTAAACTAAGTATTTTCAGTAATATTTATTAAAACTGTAAATTTATGTTTGCGTTTAAGCACACATAACACATAGTTTTTTTAGTTTGTTGACTTACACTGTAAAAGCTTATCCCCTAAATGCATGTTTTGCCCCTCTTGAAAATATTACTGTGGTCGCCAGTGCTTTGGAGGGTTCATTCGAAAGATGTATACACATAAAAGTACATTAAATTTAAAACAGATGATTATTTAAGTAATATATAAGTAATTAATTTTAAGTTCATCAATTGTAAATTAACAATTGTGTGTAGAGTTACATATATATGTATCGTGGAGGCGTGATGTGATGTCATAATCTTTACACTTGATCTCTAAATCACGACCTCACAGTTCTTAACAAACAATATGCTTTAAGTTATTATTTTTATACAGACATACATTATATACGTTAAACAAACAAATCAAGTTATCAGTATAATAAATGCTCTTAAAGATCAGAAGTATAATACATTTTTATCTCTATTTAACCTTTTCAGTTAAATTCTTTATGCCTCTATTTAGCAGCGTTACTGAAATTCTGAGTTGTGTTTACATATTACAAAATTAATACTTAAAAGAATTCATCGACATAATTTTACTTTTAATTTAAAATAATGAACCAATATCAGATATGAGAACATAATTCAGCTGTGGTGAGTTAGTTTCCTTTTTTTGACACTAGACGTCCTAACACATTATCTAGGATTCAGGGTATAATCCTAGTACCAAACAGTGTCTCAGTATTTCTAGAAAACATAGTTGTCTATAAAGTAGTGTACGCTTTATCTTTCTCCGGAAAACGTGAGTTAGACTATCAATAGACAAAGTCTTTTAAACTCGTTTTTAATGCTACATATATATGTATTTTTTTTTATGAAGAATGTATCCATATAATGCTACTTTTGAAAAATATTGTCTAGAAATGGCATAATTTGCTTATTTTCTTTGCACATTCGTAACATGTGATACCCTTTAAAGTTATTAAAAAAAGTAAGATAGTAAAGGAAAAGTAGTGTTAATTTATATGAGATATAAATTTATAGGTTTCCATGGAAATTGAAGTGTCAAGTGCCACTAACGTAGGCAATAGAATTAATGCAGTAATTTGTTTTCTCTAAAGCTTATAGTCTCTGAAAAGTTTTATAGACTTCAAAAAACAAATTATCTTTTAAAAAGACAAGGCGTTGCTATCTAGAGGATTTTTAGTTCCATGATATGAGCTCAAAGTGGCTATAGTTTGGATTTAAGCAGGACAATACTATTGCTAAGAGATCTAACACACTCGATTAATTCCTCAAACACTTTGTAAAGCTGGCAGGTGCTCGAAGTTCGTGAGGCCGGACGAAGGACAGGGATGAATATCGAAGTTATCGTATTCTCGGCTAACTGTGCACGCGATTAGGCAATTGCCTTTAGGGCCGAGGTAACAAATCAAGTAGTAGTTGAACAGGCAAACAGTAACAGAAGCTTTACCTAGCTGATGCTAATTACAGACTTGGTCTTCACGTTGGCTTTTTCTGGTTATTATTCATGATCGAGAACATTTAGGCCCATTTAATTGTATCGCGTACCTTACATTAAAATATGTTATTAATTAAAAACAGAATGGGCGCAACTGTGAAATCCCTGCAGAAGAAACGCAGCGAAATATTTCTATTGAACAATTAGATCCTAGAAAGCTGACTTATTGGCAAGTGGATCTAATGTGTAAGAAAGGATTTGTGCGTGAAAAATAGTGTAATCATTGAAATATTGAAGACATTTATTTAAAACTTAAGGAACGAAACAACGCTAATTAGTCGATCTCATGACGTAGGAGTAAGAAAATGTGAAGCTCACGCTAAACAATAAGGAATAGCATTTTCAATTGATGTTACATAACCACGTGCACTACGTGCGCTGTAATAAAGCAAGCAGACATATAAATTTCAATCATGGTTCTTAATAAAAAAAGAACAATTTATCATCATAACACTGATTTTTTTTAACAACTTTAGTAATTCTAATTTTTACCTTTTTTATTTGCATAATGAAATAATTTTTGTAAGACAAAATACTTTAGGAACGATAATTCTTCTTGGTAAGAATTTTTTAGTGTAAAGCTATACATGAGGTATCTGCGCTTTGGCCACCGCGGGGATTCAAATCCCGGATTTTAGAGTTTTAAGTAAGTAAATTTCCACTGAACTATCGGGGGACACTGTGAACTATCGGGGGACACTGGGAAGGATCTTGTACTCCAATTTCAAATTAAGTTAATTGTATTGCCTATCTATCTATCTATCACTTACTTAAATTTAAGATAATGTTACATACATCTTTTGGGCTAAAACTTAAAAATTTAATGACACAACCAGGAAGAGAATAATTGATTTTCCCATATTGGGGTAATATGTTTTTAAGACTTATCTGTCTTTAAAGTTTTTAGACCAACGAATGCACATAGATTTATTTAAAACTTAAATAAATATTATAGCCATATAGTTGTGCACGTTACTTGAACTACATTGTTTTTTGTTAAATTTCGCGCAAAGCTACATAAGGGTTATCTGCGATAGTCATTTTTAATTTTGAAGTAATAGACTAGAATGAAGGCAGTTAGTTAATATCACCCGCCGTCAGCTCTTGGGCTATTATTGTCAGATTGAATAGTAATGGGTTTTGAACATTACTCTTATAACACACCAACGGCTCCAAAGTGCAGAGTTCGATTTTGATGTGGCGGTAATGGGACCCGAAACATAACTATTAAGTAACGTTTGGCTAGACTAGATTATTATCATTACTTCATCTAAAGTTTATTTTTTATGTATATATTTACCTATTTACACACACACATATATTTATATACACCACTAATAAAAAAAACTTGCAAAATTATGTATGATGTAGGGATGGAAATGCCAAAAAAGTGTAGAAACAAGGAAAGGATGAATACACAAAACCATACAAAAATTACCACATAAGTAGCCAAATCTTTCCAAGAATAACTTTTATCTACAACTAAAACAAGGAAAGGATGAATACACAAAACCATACAAAAATTACCACATAAGTAGCCAAATCTTTCCAGGAATAACTTTTATCTACAACTAAAACAAGGAAACAAGGAAAGGATGAATACACAAAACCATACAAAAAATACCACACAAGTAGCCAAATCTTTCCAAGAATAACTTTTATCTACAACTAAAACAAGGAAACAAGGAAAGGATGAATACACAAAACCGTACAAAAATTACCACATAAGTAGCCAAATCTTAACAAGAATAACTTTTATCTAAATGTTGAATTCCTGTCAATTGCATGAAGTCAGGTTTGAATAAAGCATTTAAACTGAATAATGATATACAGTGACTAAGTAATAGTTTTCCTTTTTATTATTTCCCCATAAAAATATGTGTGGTAGAAGAACAGAATAATATTACTGTTATACAAGCTGTGAAACACTCGATAATGGCAATTAGGTGCTCAAATAAGGCTATAACTCAACTTTAGCAATTATTTATAAGCATCACAGAGTAATAGATTGAATGTGGCAGCCTTTATTTTCTCAATCCATCCCTACATACTAAGCACTACCGTGCTTAGTGATATAGATATTGTTACGTATTAGAATTTCGGATTGTCCGAAGCCGAGTTAACTGATAATTTAAATTTAGTAGTTAAATTGTACTTTGGATTTAGTATTCAAATATATGCCGATATATTAGTCAATTTACGATATTTGCCAACAAGATTGATACACACCGTCTTCGTTTTTAACACAAATACGTTTAATATACACACAGCAATACAATTTACAATAACAATTATTACAAATAGTTATTACAAACAATGATTTATAAACAAAAGTTTCACAAACTTACAAACAATATAAAATCATCTTTCTAGTTTGGAACTTTCTTGATATCTTATCGAGGGTTCACGATGAGCGAGTTAATTACGAGTTGATCATTCGCCGGGAAGCTAGCTAGCTAGGTTTTCCACCGTTGAAGTTAGGTAATATTTTCGTAAAAATACTAATGTCCGATGGGATTCCACTGAAGTTAAATAATTTGTAATGTTCGAACTTTGTAAAGGTTATTGGTTCAATTATCTGAAGTTTTCCGATTGATAAGCGTTATAA